TAACAAGATAAGATAAGAGATAAGAACAATAAGATAAGAACAAGCAAAATGAGATAATCTAATCTAGATAAGGCTGCTGTTGCCAAACTGGGTAGGATGAGCATCACTGAATCCTTGCTGCTGCTGGAGGTGGGCCCGGGGCCTGTTGCTGCCGGCGGCAATGGTACGTCTTCCCGAGGAAGGCGTCCATAACAAAAAACCTATATCATTTGACTTTTCTACATATCCTATGAAGTTTCCACTTATGGTTCTTGGGTCCAGTTTCCCCAATTATGAGTTGCATACCCTTACTTCGGCTTTACAACCCCAAATGCGTACATGATTTAGACTGCGCTTCTTTCCAACCCACAATTCAAAAGGTGTCTTAGGAACTGCTTTTGTTCAAACCCTATTCAGATGTATACTACAGTTTGAAGAGCTTCCCCTCACAAATTTTGGGGTAGAGACAAGTTGCACATCATATGCGTCACCATGTCCATAAGTGTTTTGTTTCTCCTTTCTTGACACCATTCTAATAGGAAGAACACAGCATGGTTTTTTTCCTTGTCCCCGACAACAAAGCCTTGACATCAAGATATGTTTCTTCTGCTTGCGAGAGGAGTCATGTCATGGAAAAGTACTAAGCAAAAGCTTAGAGCATCCTCCACGATGGAAGCAGAATTCATAGGATGTCATAATGCTACGGCACATGCAATTTGGTTGAAGAATTTAGTTTTTTTATCAATAACAGAAATCAATTTATTAAAAGAAATTAATTACATCATTCAAAGAAGAGGTAAAGAGGCTTAACTCTCCCAATTAGAACAGAAATGAAAATTATAATACAGCCCAAAACATTTGTTCCCTTCCCATCCCCTGTTTTGCCAATGTATCTGCAAAAGCATTTGCAGTCCTCTTCACCCACTGAAACTGAACCTCCAACCCCATGGTTAGCCACTTAGCCTCCCTCCTCTCATTTGCAAATTTCCCAAGTCTACTGTCCTTTTGTAACTAATTTAAAACCAAGCCTCTGAATGTTCAACTCCTTCATCTTCCTTAGACCTTCCATTAAAGCACATATCTCAGCTCTGAGAGAGTTGCCACTCCCAATGGGGCCTGAATACAATGCAATCACCTTCCCATTCTCATCTCTGAACACACCACCAGCACCAGAGGGTCCTGGGTTGCCTTCATTGCTGCCATCAAAATTTAGCTTTATAAATCCTGGGGCTGGTGGGGACCACAAGGGGCAGGCACCTAATGAAATAGGGGCAAAATTTGCCACTTCCTGCCATCTGTTCAGCAGCATATCTGTAGAGACATAAGCAAACATATCCAAGACTTCAACCAGTGCACCACCCTAACCATTATCACTTCAATGATACCTTCTTTGTTCCTTTCTTTATCAGAAAAGGTCATTGAGTTTCTTTCTTCCCATAGAGTCCAACATATGGCAGCCCTCACACACCTCCACATAGCCCTACCCCTTTTCTTAGGCCATCTAAAGAAAGAAGAAGCAAACAAGCTTTGTATATCTGGCAAAGGGATCCAAATAAAGTGAGAAACCAGTCCCATATATCAGAAGCAAAAGGGTAGGAAATTAGTAAATGGTATGAGCTTTCATCATTAGCCTTGTAGAGGGTGCACCAGCGTGGGAACAAGCACCAATTAGGACTTTTTCTCTGGAGTAAGTCACATGTATTACATCTTTCCAAAAAGGCTTCCCAACAAAAAGCTCCAATCCTTGGAGGGATCGGCTCGCCCCAGACTCCCTTGACTGGAAAGATTGTATGAAGTTGTCGGTTTGATGTGTCAAGGATTTAAAAAAAGAAGCACAAGAGAAAGCCCTTGAGGGTGATAAAGTCCAAATTCTACCATCCCTTTTTGAAGGATCTGTTATCAGTATAGTGATGGAAGAGAAAAGAAGAGAAGAGAGAAGAGAGAGAGCAGAAGAGAGGAGAAAAGATTGAGAGTCAAAAAACTTGCTGGCGGCGCCAGCTATTTTGTTATATATACTAGGGCGACAGCAACTAAAATAATAAAAGGGTAAAAGTACAATAGTACCCCTGCGGTACTATACTTAGGAAAATAAAAGCTTTCAACAGGATCCAAGGCCACCCCATTCAACATTTGAATGAAGTCCACAGCATTTATTTACAATTTCTGACTCCCTAAGGCCTCTTCTAAAACCCAAATCCCAATCATACCCAAAATTTGATCAGAAGGGACCAAAAAATCATACACACACTTCCCTTTGAAACGAAAAAGGGAAAATAAAGAGGGGAATTGGTCTTTTAGAGATGCATCCCCCACCCAAGGGTGTTCCTAAAATTTTACCTGATTCCCAGAGCAATGGTCATACCTGATGCAGAAAGGATGGAAGAATGGCATGAATGGACTTCCAAGGAGAGGCTAAGTTAGTCCTTGCCACGAGCCCAAAATCCCAACCATTATCTATCTGTCCATGAATACTCAAGATAACCTTAGTCCACAACCCTTTTCTTTCCTTTTCTTTATTTTTTCTTTCCCTTCCCTTTCTTTCCTTTCCTTTCCCTTTTCTATTCTTTTTTCTTTGTTTTTTTCTATCATTTTACATGGGTTGTGCATGAGGCGCATGAAGCGTACGCCTCTAGCACGCCTCATGAAAAAAGTGTACGAGGCATACGCCTTAGAGGTGTCAGCACCTCTAGCATATGCCTCAGGGCATTTTGGGGGCACCTCGCTTGGAGGCACGCCTCCAGGCATACGCCTCCCACGCCTTTTAAAACACTACTTCCAATGTAGTCATTGAGGGTCTCTCAATTAAGGACTCCCATCTGGTTGAGTCCAAATTAATAAGCCCTAAAATCTCTCAACTTTCCCTTATCTCTAACTTTAATTTAAAATTTAAATGTGAAGGATAAAGATAAGAGAGAGAGTGGGGAGTGGTTAAGCTAATGTGAGGATGTGTATGATTCTCATTGGCTAGAGTATGAGGAGATTTCTTAATGGGGGGAATCACCTACAAAGTAGGGTGGATAAGGTCCCTCCCTTTTAACAATCTTTTTTTTTTTGTGGAGAATCCCCATTCCATTCTACCACCACCAAATTTACCTTTGTATGAGAGGAGATTGTTGACAAAGGAAGACTAGAGCTCTAGCCTCTCTAGTCAAGTACTAGAGTAAGTAGAACCATTGAAAGAAAAGAAAATTTGTTGAATCGTGCAAGTCCATTAGCTTTCATTGGAAGAGCCTTCATGTACAAGAAGCAAGTTGTTGAGATTGCAAGAAGGAGGATCAATCTAGGCAGTTGGCCAACCCAAATCGGGTTATTACCATTATTTTCTTTTGCAAGTTTAAGTTGACACTCAATAACACCTCTAGCATGCACTTCAAGGTGTTTGGGGAGTGCCTCGCCCAGAGGTGCACCCAATGTTTTAAAAGCGCAAGGACCATTCTGCACTCGAGGAACAAGGTGAGGCATGCAGCTTTTTTGAAGCAAGGAGCAAAAATGCTAAAAAAATTAAAAAATGCCAAATTTTCAAAAAAAAATGCAAAATATTAAAAATATCAAACACAATACTAATTACAAATATACACTTAAATTTTAAAATAAATGTTTTAAAAATACTGATAAAAAAATAAATGTTTTAAAAACCTATTATCTCAAATTAAAATATGTAAACACAACATGTAAAACATATTTGAATGAAAATTTAAAAATAAAATCAAGCATAACATAGAAAACATATTCAAGCATGTAAACTCTTAATCTCTTTATTTTTTTCCCAATTGCATTACTTCAAACAGCTAATGTGATGTTAAACATTATGCATTCCTGATTCTATGTGTACCATGCCCCTCAAGGCAAGCCCAAACAAGTCCATATTAAAAGGCAATGAAAGTTATAAAATCATTATTTTTTATGTGAGAAATAAGAATTTCAAACCCTAACATAGACTTGTTTGGGCTCGTCTCGATGGGCATGGTACAAAGGCAGCTCATAGAATACGCTTTACATGTTATATTTATGTATTTTAATTTTAGATAAAAGGTTTTTTAAAACATTTATTTTATAATTTAAGTTTATATTTTTTATTAACATTATGTTTAATATTTTTTTTTGAATTTTTGCATTTTTTTTAATTTTTTGGCTTTTTTTAATTTTTTATTTTTATTTGTTTTTTTTATAATTTTGTGCATTGCTTAAAAAGGTGTGCACCTCCCCTTGCGCCTTGAGCCTCAGGCACAAATTGGCCCTTGCGCCTTTTTTTTTTGCGACTGGCGCTTTTAAGACATTGCATGCACCTTTTGAAAGTGTTGTGTCAAAGACCCATGCGAGGCACATATCCTAAAGTGCACCTCGTCTGTGCACCTAGGCATGTCTGAGGCGTATGCCTCCCACACCTTTTAAAGCATTGTCAAGACTATAGTTAGCTGTCTTAATGGGCCAAACTAGTTCAAACATTCTTATTATAGAGGTTTTAGAATTTTTGAAAGTTAGACATAATGATGCCACACTTCTTTCAGTTAATTATGAAACAATCAGAAGTTGTGACAGATATTAAAAAAAAACAACTAGAAATTGGTTTCACTCGGTTTCTTAAGTGAAATTGAAATTTGTAAAGCAAGATCCTAGGCCTTATTCTGAGCTTATAAATACAGTTAATGTAATTGAAATATAAGAGTTGAAAGGCATAAAAATTTGTCCTGAAGTTACCTGTGGGTAAATGTGTGATCTTGTTCTCTCTTTTCTCTCTCTCCCTCTAAAGATGCAACCTTTCTTCTCATTTCCTTCTCTATTTAAGATCTGAATTTCTTTTCTAATAATCCAAATTTTCAATTACCCTCTCCTTCCTGCCAATGTAAAGATTGTAGGAACTTTTTCCTTGTCCTTCATCGAAGTATATATCTATTACCAAAAAAATGGTGTATGTCACAAATCACAAAAGTTGTCTATCAAGTGATTAACAAGCATTCACTTCAAATGAAAAAAGAAAAAGAAGGCACCATCTAATGCTTATGACAGAAAGAACATAAGCATTAGATGGTGCCAGAAAACTTCTCTTTCACAATAAAGAACCATTCTAACTCTTCTTTCCCAACTACATAATTGTTAAACATTACTAGAGAATGATTCATGATGTGTCACAGAATGACTCTCTCGTATTGTCAATCTACCAATGATTGTGTGCAAGAGTAAAACTAAGAGCAATCAAATTTTATATGGAGTGCAAAGGCATGAAACAAATAACATCATAAAAAATCAATTATCAAAAAAAAAAAAAAACATCATAAAAAATCAAACAAGATTAGCAAATAGCAACATGAGATTGAAAAGCTAAAAAAGAAAAAAAAGGGGGGCGGTAATCCAGGAACTTGAAAACCTCGTAATTCTCCAGACTCGTAAAGAAGATGAAAAGTAGTACTATGACAAAAGGAGAATCCTCTTTTCGAGTCTGATTTAAAACATGTATAGAAAGCAAGATATTTCATAGGAACTTTAGATTGTATAGTTGCATATAATGAAGCTTATCTCTTGAACGATTCTTTCCATACTCACAAAGATACATTTAAGGAACAGAGTGAGAGCATCATTACCAAATAGTAAGTAAAACCTTGCTAAAGAAATCAAGTGGCTGTAGTAGAAGAAACCAAATAGATCCGCCTTGTAATAGAAGGTGAGGGGTATGAGGGTTTGACAAAAGATAATTTATCACCAGCGAGGAGTAGATAGATGATTCGAAGTGGCTAGGACCTAAAACCCATTTACCTATGATAGGCAAATCTGTTATCTTCGTACAAAAAAGAAAAAAAAAATCCTGGTTTTTCTGCTCAAATTTCTCTCGTAACAAGTTTTCAATCATGTCTCTCATAGCATAATAATCACTATCTTCGATCTAAGAAACCAATTACTTCCAGAATACAAAACTATACAGAATTGAGCAACGAAGCTCACCCGACCACTGAAGAAAAGTCGGAAATAGTTGAAATGATTGAACTGAAGCGATGGTTATAACATCGAAAGCACTCCATTTTCTGTAGTTTCCTCCACTTTTTTCCGCGAAGACGAGGGCTTGGAGAGCGAAAGAACGCACAAAGCTATTAAGATACCGACGAGATCAGCAATGACGTCCTTAGAAGAGGCACCGGCAGACTTCCACAACCCGATCTCGTCCCCAGCTTCTTTGGCAGCACCAGATGCAAGCGAGGCCAGGGATCCCAACCAGATGCTCCATCTTCTTAAAAACGAGTATCGAGAGAGACCGGCCAGAGCTGAGGCGATAATGGCGATAAAAAAACAGAAGAGCACATGGTAAAGCTTGTCTAGGGCAAACCAGTCGTCTCCGTTCTCCATCTTTGCAGCAGCAGAGACCTCACAGAGTTCAAAAGTTAATTACAGGACTGTATCAAAACAAGGGGATGTTTTTGCCTTTTCAAACATGTATAGTATTGTAAGAAAAATTGGAGAGTTTGATCACTGCTATGGCCTTTATGTTGATCTTTTGATTCCACTTCAAAAATCTACTCTTCATCTATCTTTTACTCTTGTGTTTATCTTCTCTCTTCATATGGAGGAACCATCATATAAGATTAGAGGTTGAAGCTCTGGCCAAATGGGCAAAGAACTTATCTTTCGCTTTTCTCAGTTCTTGGTCACTTGCTTTTCACTCTGAATCAACCCCGTTAGGCCATTGGCAACCTCTCGAGGGTCAAAACTCTCTCTATCAGATCAATAAACAAAAAGAATAGATGGAACTGGGCTATGCTGCATATCGGCAACTGAACGGAGTCGGGACTCGGGATCTGCTTTGGGTTCGCTTGTTTCAAAGCAGTAACTGGATGTTAGTATGTTACAGTGTCTCTGCTTCTGGCTGGGTGTGTGAGAAAGGGAATCAGGGAATGAAAGTAACGAGTCTGGAATAGCTGAATTTGATGGCTGTGTAATGGGCTGTCTAAGGTAGGGATGCAGATCTAATAAGACTCGATCAGAATTCGAATCCTATCGGATTTTCTGATGTGACTTATTTTTTTTAATTAATAAATTATTAAAAGAAAAAATAAAAAATACCAATTTTAATAAAAAACAAAAAATACAAATATCTTTTAATTATTTTTGTTATATACATGTTTTTATAAAAAAGATAAATAATATAATAAATTTATAAAAATACAATATAAATAATATATTTATAAATAAATAAATAACATATATAGGATAGATCATAGGATCCCAAGATCCGACTAGGGGTGATCCAAATTCAATCAAATAGGATCGGATCATGATTCGATCCATTTACATGCACCCCTAATCTAAGGCCAAACGAATTGAGTTTGAACCTAGGGAGTTCAAAACAAAAAGTGTTAATTACAAAGAGCCACATTTTCTTATTCGGGGCTGTGAATTTTATTTTGTAATAAAGACCTCCAAAGTTTTAGATTTTACGACTTTGTATTTTGACCCACTAATGGGTAGGGGTGTTCACATTAAATGTCAAACCGATCAAATCGGCCCGACCCAATCCGAGTTGGTTAGTTTTTCAAAACCACCGGTTGGTTTTGATTTGTATGAGAAAATAAATCGATAACTCAGTTTGGTTTTGATTTTCATACAAGAAAACTGAAATTGAATCGAAGTGATCATATATGTTTAGGTAATTACTAATTAGTCCCTACCCTATAAGTTAAATGATGATATATTTTATTTGTGTTTTGTTTGAAATTTGAAAAAAAAAATAGTTATTTATGATAAAAACTAAAAACACAAAATCAATACAAATATAATACAATGGTAGAATATTTAATTCAGCTTTGTATAAATTTAAATATATATATATATATACAAACAAATCAGTTTTGCATAAAAAAACTAATCGATTTAATTATATATTTTGGTTTTGCATAAAAATTAAAAAGAAATAAAGTTAAGTATAAATAGATATTTAGATATAGATATTTTAGTTTAAAACATATATATAAAAACCGATAACCAAACTCAAATCGACCTTTCATGTTTGGATCGATTTGTTTGAGGGTCTGTCAGTTTCGGTTTAATCAATAAGTAAACTAACTAGATTGGGTCAGTTGAAAAAAAAATACTCAGACCAACCCAACCCGACCCATGAACACCCCTAGTGCCAGCCTTAATTGGGATTTGGGCAAATTTCTAAATTAGGATGTGGCTAATATCCCAACCAACAACCATATTGGCGCAACTTTTGAAATGGGAAAATCTATGATGCGGGAAAGATATGGTATTGAAAGAGTTTCAATGATAAATAACACCTGATTGACTACCATGTTTAAGATTCTAATTGATTGGTCAGAAGTTTTTCATGATATTATATCTTTTTGGTATTATAGTCAAATGACTCAAACCCTTTCGAAATATAAGGTTTTGAAAGGTGAGATGTCTGACCACAGCATTGAAAGACGTAAAAAGTTATTTGTGCAACACAGAAATATATAAGGTCGGGCACTTTGTTGGATGGTTAGCAATGATCTAGAAATAAAGGTGTGGGAGGTCCCATGAATCCCAAGCATCCCCTCATTCACTCCCTCCTTTGAATAGGGATGGATTAGAGTCGAGCTGAGTTGAATATCTAATGTGTTATTCGAGCCCGATTTGTCAATACAATATGATTGCTTGAATCAAAAGCTTGTAAGTTTGAGCTCAACTGTAAGTAAAACATTTTATAAAAATAAAAAATATTTTTTATTTGACATATAAAAAATTAAAAATTATAAAAACTAGTTATGATTATATATAATACTTCTATTTTTAATTTATATATTATTTTTTACATATATAATATTTGTATATTTATTATTCATAATGTCATTGTACAATTCGAGTCTGTGTCAAGGGGGATGTTGTTTATGGGAGGGTGGTGATAAATGCATATAGAGAATTAATTTATGAATTCTGACCCGTGTACAGCCCTACTAGAAATTAGAGAGGATTTGTTCCTTAAATATGACTTTTGAGAAAGAGTCTGTTTGGATCAGGGCTCACCACTCGAATTGATTTTGTTAACTGCTCTTTGTAGAGTGGCTGCAATCTTGGTATAACCAAATAGACTCTAATGATACACTATTGTGGTAAATGAAGTGTACTGCCTGGTGTATTTGGAAGGCAAGATGCGCTTTGATTTTCGAAAATATTACACCAGAGCCATGGAGAGTTTGGATGCATGCCTTGAACATGCTTGTAGAATATCGGGACTACTGTCACAATATGGTTCTTTGATGGAGGGAATAGACACGACCACCGATTGTTAATGTTGATGGAAATTATGGCTTGTTTGGTTTGAAGGAAAAGGTAAAGTAAGGAAAGGAAAGGTAGGGAAATTTATACAAGGTTTGTAAAGATCTTCCTATCTTTTCCTTCCTTTCCCTATTTTTTCCTTCAAACCAATCGCAGACAAAGTCGAGGTAGGAATAATCATACATAACTCAAATGGAAACTTAATGGGTGCTTCTGCTAATTAAACATATTGGAGTGGCTTTAGCTTTTCTTGTGTAGTATTCAATTGGCTATACAGTGCCAAGTCTGAAGAATCAGATTCATTACAAGTTGTATATGCTCTGTCTCAGGCTTCTTGTTCAATTCCTTGGCAAATTATATCCATTATCGCCAATTGCAGGGCTCTCCTTCAACTCAAATTGTTGAATCGCACTCGACATTTAGGGAACAAAGAGATGCATGCATTGTCTCAACTGGTGATGAATCTTACAGTCCCTAAGCAATGGCAATAAATACCTCCTTATGTTCAACATGTTTTAATGGAGGGGTCCTCAATCGGAGTTTCTAGTAATTGAATTGCCTAGGGGTCGAGTTCAGATTTGAGGGTTTAGGATTAGGGTTTAAAGATTTAAGGTTTATACATAAAAATCAAGGTTTTGGAGACCATGTAAACATAGCTATTCACCATTCCACTACATAATGCTAATGCATGGCAGTTCACCATTTCACTGGTAAGTGCTACTACAAGATCACCTTTTTTTTTGTCTCACTTCAAGTTGCTATAGATATTGATCACTAGACACTATCCAAAAAAAAAAATATGTAACTTTTTTTGTCAACTAAAATTCATTTAACAACTGTAGTCGAAAGATAAACCAGGACTGAACATAGGGGTGGTCACGAGTTGAGCTTTTCATGAGTTGTTTGAGCTTAAAAAGCTTGGCTCAATTCGGTCTAAACCAAGCTTCAAGCCAAGTTTACTAATCGAGCCGAGCTTGAGCCTAATAAAGCTCAGCTCATTAGGCTCGTGAGCCTAATCGAGCTTTTACATATATGTATGTATACATACATACATACATACATATATATGCATATGCATGTGTGTGTGTACATTATAAAAATATTATATATAAAATTTTAATTTTTATATATAATATAATTAATTTTTTGTAGTTCTTAAATTTTTATATGTCAAATAAAAAATAATTTTTATTTTTATAAAACATTTAATTCATAGTCGAACTCGAACCTGATAGTCTATTAGCGAGCCGAACTCGAATAGCTAGGTATTTGGCTTGGCTCAGCTCATCTCAAACCCACCCCTAATTGAACACCAACCAAGAAGGAAGCTCCCTATACCAAAACACATCTTACTTAACAGATTTAGCAAACTAAACTAACATATGAGCCGCTTGATTCTTACTCCAATTAATATAATGATAAATAACTTTATTTCTAAATATGATTTTTGGCTTCAACAACCCTTGAATTTTGCAAAAAATAATCACTTTAGACCCTACAAATTAAAAGGGCCATTTTCACCCTCAAATTATAATGGAAAGGCCATTTAAAGTAAAACCAAATGACATTGGATACGTCATTGATAGATCCATTAGACAATGAATAAAATAATAAAAGTAAATTTATATGGCATTGCTCAAATTTGAAAAGGCCACTTTAGATGTTAAAAAATCTATTAGTTAAAAAGTAAGCATTATTCATCTTGAATTAAATTACTTGAAGGATTTTATCAAATTAGAGTCATTAAAATGTTGAAAATAACATAAATTTTTTAGAGAAAGAGACTACAGAGTGATATTCAAGGGAAACCCTAGTCCATGGAAAACAGTTGTAACAAACAACTGGATGTTCCATGTATGTTTGAGGCAAAAAAAAAATGATATTTGATTGCACTGAGCAGACCAAGCATCATAACTACCTTCCTAAAATACTTTTTAACTATTTCTTCCTAATTCAAATCACACATCACCATATGGGAGATGCATCCCATGATCATAAGGATGATATTTTTAATCAGTAACATAAACAAAGATTTTATTAAATGACAGAAAATTCTGCATGTTGGTTCTATATTAATTATTTTAGGGAAGTGAGATCTTTGACTTATTCTGTGAATACCTTGTTTAGATGAATGAGCTATTTCGGTCTTGCAAAAGATAAGGAAAAAAGGAAGTTTAGATGGAATTTCAAACCTACAATGATTTGAGAAAATTGGGCATTGGTTTTTTTTTTAATAGTACAGAAATTTGGTGAATAACTTTCAATCTAATGGCTAAAATATCAAATGGGTTCTGCAATCAAATAATCTAATGGTAAGTGTTTTATTGAAAAAAAAAATTGTAAGCACATCTGTATTGCCATCTTAGAGGTTAATCTACTAAAATTTGATAGAAAATTAAGCCATTTAATTTATATGGCTATTAGGTGCCTAGGCAAAAAATGCTATATAGGTAGGGGTGTAAATGGATCGAATTCGAATCGGATCAGGCAATATCCGAATTCGATTCGATATCCGACGGATATTAAAAATTAATATTCGAATTCGAATCTAATTAAATATTTGAATATTCGATTCAATTCGAATTCGATTAATTAATAAGTATAAAAAATAAATATTTTATTGATATAAAATATATAAATATATAAATTATATAAAATATTTT